GCAATACTATACTAATAGTATATCAAGTATATATATACATAGTATAGCATATATTCAGTTTCAAACCGTTTCTTCCACTACCTGTAAAAATTTCATTACCTGTATCAATATTACGACAATTTTCAAGTAATTGATAACAAAAATAAAAATTAGCTAGATCGTGTCTATTTGTCGTTGTAAAAAGACTTCTTTTATATTCGAAAAAAATGCGTTACTTAAAAATTTTAGGAAGTTTTAGCGCTTGCGTTATTTAACTGATTTTTTTTTGATTTAATAAAGCATTCTGGATATTTTTTGAACGAAAAAATTATTAGACGCTAAAAAGACGTTCAAAAGACGTTTAGATTTTTAATGGGACGGACGGACGCGATTTGAAAGTCCTAAGGACTTCTTTTTTACGTCCCGTGCCCACTGGGTTATATATGTTCTATAAGAAGAAAACAATCTTTGCATGCAATTGATACTAGTTTTATTTCCATTCCATAAAGAAAATACTCTTCATAATTTTACTTAAATGTTAAATGTTGGCGCTGCATGCGTTTTCTGGAGTAAGGTTTAACTAAATGATGCTCCATCCAACAATTTATGATGGTTCGTATTAGTTGTCGTTTATTCAAGAATGAAAATTTTCTTTATGATCAGACTGAAACAAATTTTTGTGTAACTGTAGAGGCTATTTAGAATCATTTATTTTGTGGATTCTTAAGTAAATGATTTGTTCTTAAGGTAGTATAAACAATCTTTGTACACGCAGTTAGAACTATATTGTATCCCAATCTTTAACCATAAAGACAAAATTCTTTATGATGACTAAAACTGTAATGCTTACGTAACTGTTCAAGCATATTCGAATTAATTTCTAAAGATAAGAATGGAATGTTAATTAAATACAATCAGTTTTTTAATATTATAATTGAACTTGATGGCTACAAATATAACAAAGACCTTTTCTAAAAAATGATTTTTCGCCATGCTCTGAACACACAACATTCTTTTTTACTTTAGCAGCTTGAAGCTTTCTATCAGCTTTGCTGTGCAATTCAAAGCGTTTTAAAACAAGACGCGGCTTCTGTTCCTGATTCCTTACTGAATGCAACTGTCTTAATTCCTGAATAACGCCGCCATGCAAACTCTCTCCTTCTTCTTCATTCAGCAATCCAATAGTTTTATGCGATTTAACAAATAGTGGCACATTAAAAGTGAGTTCATGCATTTTTTGCATAATACTTTCATTAGGAAAACAAGAATGAAATCACAAGCAAATAAATGTGTATATTGACATAGCTCAATAATTTTGGCTTCGGAAAGAAATTTTAAAAAGAACCAGCTGCAATTTATTAAAAACGCTGAATACACGCAAAAAATTGCCGCATTGCTAATTGCCGGATCATCAATACAAAGTTTTAATTGGTTTCTTAAAACTATTTTGCAAAGATTACCAACAAATACATTACCATGGTAAGCTTGCTGCTGAACATTCATATCATCAAGGGCCTGCAGAAGAGTCTTCTCATGAATGCCCATGTCGCTTTTTGATTTTTTCTCAAGATCCTTCCCAGCGGGCATTTTGACGTCCTAAGGATGTCCGTTAGACGTCTTAAGTCTCGTCCGTAAGACATCCTTAGTTGGTCTCAAATGAAAGGCTTGAGGACGTCTATTCCGGACGTCCTAAAGACGTTTTTTAAAGACGTTCTAGAGACGTCTCTGGCTGGTCTCATATGAATGACTTAAGTACGTCTTTTTCAGACGTCCTAGAGACGCTTGAATTTTACCAAGACATTCTTTTAAAAGTTATATAAAAATGCAATGATTTACAACACACACCTTAGATTTGCCTTAATCTAGGCAAGGGAAGTTATAAAAGGAAATCAATGTAAATAAAGTGTAATTATATATATTTAAAATAAATTAATAACTTTATAAAAATTAAGAATAATTTTTCAAACAAAAAAGTTACATTTTTCAAATTAAAAACAAATAGGTACTGTAGAATATAATCGATAGTGCATTATAAATAGAAGAAAATTGCTTAAAAATGGAAAAAAAATACAACAGTTAATTAAGCCAACATTGATCGAAATCCATATTAGTCGATGTTTTCTTTATTCGGTCAGAAGAATGCCGAACTACTCTCCCAATAAGTTGGATAGCATCCATTTTGGTTAAGTTTTTATTTGACTTTAAAGCAGCTGCTAATAAAAACAACAAAACATGTTTCAATAAAATCATAAAATAAAATATATATGTCATACTTGAATACATGTCATGTTCCAGAACCAAAAAACTTTTTTTTTTTTTTTTCAAAACATCATTTTTAATTTTTAATTAATCAAACAGATTAATAAGCTAATAAGAATACCAGTGACAGCGTTACATAGACTTGTCAACTCTTTAAACTTTTTTTTCTTCTTTAGACAATTCATGCTATATTCTGACAAAATAGTGTCTGTTGGCAGTCCACATATATAAAAAAGAAGATAAATGCTCTACTGTCAATCATAAATGTTAAAACTCAAACTGTTGCTAATTACTTACAAGAGCAAAATATTTTTAATTGTATCAGCTAGATTTTTATCGCCAATTAATGATAACTGTTTTATCTAAAAAGAAACAATGTATAAGAAACATTGAAAATGTTTATGACAATTTAAAATAAATATTGTAATAATATATATCATACAAACTTTAAAGATGAAACTCATGTATACAAAAGTGATGTATTGGATATTCTCTATTTGCAAAATTTTTTTTTCAAATCATTAAGTTTATCTAAACTTTTACGTTGTTTAAAACCTTCTTCTGGATTATTAGAGAACAGTGCAGTTCTTTCTACTAAAATTTTTTTTCATTTTAGCAAGTTAGAATATAAATTTTTTCTGAAACTTTGAAAAATAAAATATATAAGTAAAGCCATAAAAATAGTATATAAAGTTGTAAATAATAATTCCTATATATGGTTGAGAAGAGGTAGATTTAAACTGAATAATGCTTAACCTTATAAGAAATAATATGTATATATATATATATATATATATATATATATATATATATATATATATGTGTATATATATATATATATATATATATATATATATATATATATATATATATATATATTGATATATATATATTGATATATATATTGATATATATATTGATATATATATACATATATATATATATATATATATATATATATATATATATATATATATATATATATATATATAAATATATATATATTATATATATATATATATATGTATATATATATATATATATATATATATATATATATATATATATATATATATATATATATATATATATATATATATAATGAATATGTATGCATCATTTAAACATTAATGTATAAATCATGTATATATAAATAATAATACATCAAATTAAATTAAACCACACAGTAACTTGGTGTCAACATAAGAAATAATCTTAACAATTATTTATACAACCAGAGATGGAAAGATCATAAAATTGAACGAAACAACACAGGAACAACAAAATATATACAATTTATTTATTCATTTACCTATTTCTACAGCAAAGATATTACAAATCTTAGCATATATATATACATATATATATATATAATATATATATATATATATATATATATATATATATTATATATATATATACATATATTATATATAGATATATATACGTATATTATATATAGATATTACAAATCTTAGCATATATATATATATATATATATATATATATATATATATATATATATATATATTATATATATATATATATATATATATATATATATATATATATATATATATAATATATATATATATATAATATATATATATATATATATATATATAATATATATATATATATATATATATATATACTATATATATATTATATATATATATATATATATATAAACGTTCTAAAGACATTTTTTGCAGATGTTTTAGAGATGTCTCTGACTGGTGTCATATGAATGACTTAAGGACGTCTTATTCAGATATCCTAGAGACGTCTGAATATTACCAAGACATTCTTTTAAAAGTTATATGAAAACGCAATAAATTGCAACACACACCTTAGATTTTCCTTAATTTAGGCAAGGGAAGTTATAAAAAGAAATCTAAGTAAATGAAGTGTAATTTGATATATTTAAAATAAATTAATTACTTTACAAAAAATAAGAATAATTTTTCAAATAAAATTACCCTTTCTAAATTAAAAACTATTAGGTACTGTAGAATATAATCGATAGTGCATTATAAATAGAAGAAAATTGCTGAAAAATGAAAATTAAATAAAAAATACAACAGCTAATTAAGCCGATCATTGATCGATATTCATATTAGTGGATGTTTTCTTTAATCGATCAGAAGAATTCCTAATTACTCTCCCAATAAGTTGGATGGATGGCATCCATTTTGGATTTATTTGACTTTAAAGCAGTTTCTAATAAAAACAACAAGGACATATTTCAATAAGATCATAAAAATATAAATATACTTGAATACATGTCAGGTTCCATAGCCAAAGAATAAAAAAAA